CTGTGACGTCTTATCATGTGACCGGACTTTTGGTGGTCGCCTTGGCGAACTCTACGGATGTACATCGTTATCGAATACACACAGTCACGTATACCATCATATAATGTGGAGCTTAAAGCGTTAAATAAATCACAAAGCTTAATAGATATGTTAAAAGAAGTAAGTTAAAAACATTTAAATTATTATAGTATTGTACTAATATATATTACCTTATTTAATTCATCTTAAATAAGTTTATAGATTACGTACAGTTAAAAAAGAATAGTGATTTTAAAGTATATGGATTAACTCATGACATTACAGCAAATGAGTATATGTTAGTATTTGCTAATGAATTTGATTCTAAAAGAGATAAGGAATATGGAAAATGTGCAAATTGCAACCGATATAACACATCTTTCGCTTGGTGCCAAACATGTGACCCACAGAAAACAACACAAGTATGGACAAGTGGAAATAAGGATGTTGATAATTGTATTAAAGAATTTCAACTTAACCACAAAATACGGAGATGTAATCGAATGGATTCCTTTTAATAGATTAGATAATATTCAAAACATTGGTGATAGGCTTCTTGCAACATGGTTAGATGGAAAACGATGCGCAAAATATGTTAATTATGGTGAATATACACAGTTACGTACACAATCGTATGAAGTGGAACTTAAAGCACTAAATAGGTCACTAAATTTAACTGTTAATAGATATATTAAAAGAAGTAAGTTAAAAATATTTAAATTATTATTTGTATTGTACTAATATATATTACTTTATTTTAATTCATATTTATGTATTAAATAGGGTTATAGATTACGTACAGTTAAAAGAGAATAGTGATCGCTTGAAATAATTATATACAATGGATATGCATTAATTAGCTTATTAATATAAATTTGGTACTCACTTCTATAACATTATTAAAGTAAATACAGAAAGAATCTTATCAAAACCAAACGTCAAATAAACATTAAAAAATATTACATGATTTCACTGTTTGTACGAAGTTCTAAATCTCTATTCCCTTTTGCTTTATAAATTTCACCGTCTAATGAGAGAAAATGAGAGAAAATAATAGATTAATGTATTTAAGAGTCCACGCATAAAGTAGGAAAATACTAACAAATATCAACATTTTTAAAATCAGATCTATTATTTTCTTTAAGATCGGAATCATTGTATTTAGGATCCAATTCTACAGGTTTTAACTGTCGAATGATTTCCTCTATGGAAGGACGTTCATGTGGCTCATTATTTCATCATTCTGAATATAGATTAATATAAT